CTCTTCTATTTGCTAAGATATTGCTCATGTAATAAATCAAATACAGTGGCACCCCGCCCACCTCTTTCCATTTCTGGAATGTCCCTCTAGTGGCTTTCTCAGCCATTTTGAGGGGCTCGAATGCTAATTCTTTGTTTTGAACCAATATTTCAAGGAGGTAGGGTGTGTCTTTAGTCTGCTTGAAGTTTCATATTTGTTTAGACTAAATACATCTTACTTTACTAAGCTTGATAAATTATAGACAAAATACTAGTTACTAAAACAACCAAGACAAGTTACTTTGTTATTGGATACAGTAACATGAGTGCACGTGTGCCACGTCATTGTAACTTTTGTATTGTTAGCCAGGCATGACTGAAAGGTCAATATAATAAATGTATAAAAATTTATAATGTTATGAGATTTAAGATATTTAGTTTAAACATCTATGTTTTCATGTTATAATTTGTGTTCATTCTAGAAAGAGGCGTAATTTATATTTATTTCCTAATTTTTTTATGGTGGTTACGAGATCAGTCAAATCTATCTATACAGAGATTGATTACTGGAAATAACAGATAAAATATAAAAAATTTTTTCTTAAGAAACACTTGATAACTATCTGAACATTATAAAGATGTCACATGTGAAAATAGAAAATTTTCTGATATATAAAAGTATTTTTAATCTTAAAATGAAAATTACTTTGCATGTTAAATAAGCAACATGCGAAAAAAAAAGGCATGAGAAAAACATTGCTTTAAAAACCTTAAGACCTAATAAAAAATTTGATATTTTGCATAAGAAAGCATTGTAATGTTTACTGATAATCTGCTAATTTCATTAACATATGTTTACTAATTTAAAGGTTATACCATGAAAACTATAACAGGCACAAAATGGTTATGAGGCTGGTCCCAGGGACTGAGCCCGTACTAAAAGAGTTAAGATACTTGTTTGAGCCAACTGAAATTCCCCTGGCTCCTTCCATTGTAACAAACTGTGCTGTGTAATGTGCCAGTACATGGACAACTGAATTTTGGTCCTAAGAGTTATTTTCACATTAATAGCCTTTTATCTACATATCAGAATTTGTCATCTACTGTACGTATTACATGCAGTCTTTTTAAACTACTGTACATTGGTGAAACTGATCCAAAAATATGTGCTAATTTCTTAAACACAAAGACATATAATCAATAGAACTCTCTCTCATTCAGTTCCAAAACACTTTTGGGATTACAAACACAATTTGTCACATCTTCAAATAGTCAATCGGAAGTATGCACCTATTGATTGCCACCTATGTAAACAAGAAGAACAGATCCAGATTTACAATTTAGGGACACTAACTCCAGGATTAAATGAAAAATTTTTCCTTTTTGAAATAGTTCTTCATTGAGTACATTTTTTATCTATGGTTACCTAGTTGTATAAGTTTTAATTTCATTTACTATGTATTTTACTTTATATGCACCTATTGATTGCCACCTATGTAAACAAGAAGAACAGATCCAGGTTTATAATTTAGGGACACTCACTCCAGGATTAAATGAAAAAAATTTTCCTTTTTGAAATAGTTCTTCATTTAGTACATTTTTTATCTATGGTCTACCTAGTTGTATAAGTTTTAATTTCGTTTACTATGTATTTTACTTTATATTTTTATGTATTTTTAAATTAGACTATCTTTCACTTCTAACATATTCTTTATTTCTTTTTTCTATAACAATAGTTTGAGCAATCACAGCATGTCATACGATGTTTTGTGTAGGTATTTGTTTTTGTTTAAATATCCTTCTAACTTAATTTCTTTAACAACTGTTTAAATATCACCTACTGAATGGCTTAGGCCTAAAATGCTGTTCAGTAAATTATCTTCTAGATTAAGATATTTCTAGTGTTAACTTTTTTTTTCAACCTGGCACATGATGTAGGCTTACAGCTGAAACTAAATGTTTTTTTATTAAATAATTTTGTGCTCTTTTGTACTACATTTTAAAATTATGTGTGATGCTACTTATTATAGAACTATGATGGGTTTATTTAAACATAATTTGATAACATTCATTCCACGTTTGTATGTGGTTGCATTTTATGTTTAACAGTATTTTTAGAATAACTGACATATGGATCTTTTGTTTAAAGTCTCAAAATGATTGATTTAGATATTTTTTCTTCAGTTTCTATGCAGACTTTGGGCCCTTAAATTTGGCTTTGCTCTATCGGTATTGTTGCAAGTTGAACAAAAAGTTAAAAGTAAGTATACTTCCAGAATTGTTAATAACAATGATGTGTGTATAAATTTATACATATGACTATTTCTTGTAATTGAATAAGTTTTATACCTAGTCATGAATATTTCTTAAAAACATTGTTTAAACATTTTCTTAAGTGCTTAGCAGCTGTTGTATAGCCTAGTAACTTTTATTTGTCTTTTTTTTCTTCTTTAAAATATATGTGTAAAAGTATTAGATATTTGAAAGTATGTGAAATGTAATGTGTTTTACAGTGAGCCAAGCTTAGAAATTTGTTGTTTTTTTTTCATTTAGTTTGTCGTAAACAAGCTTATTACTTCTCTGGTCAGTTAATGTCTTTTTATTTGATAACTGAATGTAAAGAATGTAAAGAAATTTGTTTTTTTTTTCATTTAGTTTGTCGTAAACAAGCTTATTACTTCTCTGGTCAGTTAATGTCTTTTTATTTGATAACTGAAT